TCCTCGGTTTTTTGAACTGTTTCTTTTTGTGACAAATATTCAATTGTAGACAACTCGGAGTACGGAGTCCCTGCTCTCAGTCCACCGCCTCTCTACTGCTTTAGTTGCTGAGCTTGCATTATGCACCTGTGCAAAGTATATTATATGTACCTAATATTTGCTTTGCTTTTTTTTTGGTTTTGCTTGTCAATATCATAAACTTTTGGATGGCATGGATAACCCCTGTTACTACCTACATGGGTCCCACGGTTCAGTCTTTTCGTTCCCAGGAGCTTGCGGTAAATTCAATCTCCAAAATTGAGAGATCGGGTTATTTACACCCATGCGTTCAGTGTTACTATGTTGTATTCATACGGAGTATTCTAACTTAATATATTTGACTAGAATCATCTTCAACAAAACCTTAAACCTGGTGTGTAGATTAAGAGGAGAGTATAATTTAATCGACGGTTAGCATGTGATGTACACCAAGAAGGTGGTGTTCGAATATACTCTACCGCACAAAGTAATCTTCGGATTTCAATAAATGTTACATTAAGTATGTGGCTTGTGTAACAGCATGATTACAAGATCGCAATTGCAGGGTAAAAAAAAAACTATCACAAAGAAACAGGCCGCTCTCTCGGCCATCAGGAACCTTGGAAATCTCGGTGAGAAAGCATAGTCTAGAACTTCAACGAGAAAGATAGGAGACTTGCCTGCATTATCAAATCACATTAAACATGACAGACCGACTTTATTGAGATCACAACCAAAGTCCAAGCTTTGAAGCGTGATCTTGCAGTCGGATGCAGGTACCTACGCTACCTATGCATCAAACTGCGGTGATCAGCCTCAGCCGCTCACCACATCTCAACAATTAAGCCCCCAAGGTGATACAACATCAACTTGACTAACAGGCCTGATAGCCAAATTTTGGACTTTCGGAATGCGCCCACCTCGCATGCTGGTAGTACGAGTTTCTACTGCCAAATGTTAAAACTCTATTGTATGGACATATCTTTCGTGTAGCCGAGCAATGTGATATAGACGATCTCAAGGTCTCAATAGGTTGTAATCTAATAGTATTTCGACATGGCCGTTACTATGTGCCTGTGAATATATATACAGGTGGGACAGAAGAGACCGAACAGGAGGTTACTCGATGACTCAAAGTCACGTCCAATAGAGGCTCATTCTACAGGATGGATGTGCGTAGGTCCTGGCCCGTTGCCTTGACTGCATGTCATAGACATCGCTATTGGGCACGTTCCACTGACTCTCGGATACCAACGTGGGCATTGCAAGACAACGACTCAGATCTCGCACGCTTCCTTAATTTTGCATCTGCAATTACCCCCACGAGGCTAACTAAGATACAGTACGACTTGCATAATTGTAAGATTGGTGTCTTGCTCATCCTACCCCACGAGTGAGCCATTTCTCTCCTACGTGCGAGGAGTACGAGGAGACTAGCCTATGTCGCACGCAGAGAGATCTCCTCCGGAGGAAATATCAACCGATGGATAATCCTCCCAAGTCATCAAAAATGGGACCAACATAACACCAAAACATACCATTTGTCTCATCGGAGAAATCATTGCTGATCCAGACTGCCCTAGAGCCTCGACCTAGCAAAAGCTCCTACCTAAAGCGGTCGCCTGGATGTGGGTCAGGCTCCTCAACCTCGGAGAACATGTTGACCAGATGAGACTAGAGGTGACAATACCATGCTTTCCTGACGATCTCTCATCAACCAGACGGGTCCTGCAGCGCAATGGCTATACCTGTACAAAGTCCTTGGGAGAAAAACTCGTGCATGCCCCACAGCTTGGGCACGAGTTTGCCGGGACGTGATGTGCTCGTGGGCAATGCAGCTCACTGACGAAAACATGGAAGGCTAAGCGAATGACAGAAGAGTAATATAAGCTAATGAGCTACATAAATATGTATGGAGTGGGGGTAAGTTAGTTCATGCTGTCTGTAACATCGATGCACGATGAGACAAGCAAACAAGTCTTGAGACCCGCGCGGGTCCATCAATTGTATCACAATAGTTTTACTGTGCGACTGGTTTTTTTTTTTACTTAACGGTGTAGTTCTTTGGAGAGTTCGGAGTAAGAGACAAGAAATTCTAAATTTGAGTTATTTCAATGTCCTAAGGAGTCTCTACACGCGACCGTAAAAAAAGCAGATCGCACCAGAGATGGGATGAGACTTGGTCTAAGCACCCCTCTCTTACCATGGGTCGAACCAGACTCCGGCACGGACATTCCACCCATTGCAGGTATGGCCCGCAAATCGTATTTTGCGATTGCCCCTGATGTGATGACATCGAGGGGACTTGCATCGCCCTAGTATACTAGCCATCGATTGGACTCCACAAGGGTGACATCGGAGTGTTTGTTTTTGTTCAAGCTGCCAACACCGTTCAGTAGCTCTAATTGGCTGGGTCGGCTTGATAGCATCACTGATATACAAGAGTCAAAAATTAACCATCTGGTCATCAGGTACTAACAGTTGTATGCTTCCCTGAGGAGGCAAAGATTCCAGAACATGTGACGACTGACCAATGCATGCCTGGAAGAAATAAGTTTGCGTATTGCACATTGCAATGTCGACTGGCGACTTCAGAATCACCGAGTCCACGTAGCCTCGCGAAACTGTTGGTCGAGCTGTGGGACGTGCGACGCAGCTGTGAAAGAACTACGGAGTACGGAGTACATAGCATGGATATGATCAATGTTCAATTTTGGGACTTTCGTCCTTGATCCATGATTGAGCATAGTTGTCCAATCGTTTCAATGAGAACGCGTTGATTAAATATTAAATATGTATTAATGTGTTCCACCTCAAAAGATTCACCAAAAAATGCCGAAGTTCACTTCAAATCGAGGGGCAATATACGGAGTACACTCTGTTGTCAGTCAACCAAAGTACATTAGAATTTTTATCCGGCAAGGTACTCCCATATCTCCTCCCCTCACATCTATTATTATTCCAGGTCTTAGACAAGAGCGGGTCTGCATAATTTCCCCGTCGCGTCATGTAGCTTGAATCTCGCTATTATTAAGTATTCCTCACTATACAAGGTGCGCAAGTATTGGGTGTCTTTGCAATAGTCTTCGGCTTTTTCACAACTTGCTACCGCTTGCGTCTGTGGATCCTATTTGCCAATTGCGAACCTGTTTTTCTTGATCATTGCCCCATGTGTGGGGGGGAAGATGGAGGGGGATCTCAGGTACATACAGGCTGGTCTGGATGTCAATGGCGACCGGGGGTCTGGACAAGGGGGTTAGCAGGGATTAGAGATTTGAAAAAAAAAAAAAAAAATTTCTGCGAGGTACGGATTACCGAGGGATAAGTACTATATTTGCATTAAGAAAAAATGAAACCACAACGGCCAAATTTATTAAAAGACTTTTGGCCGCTGTCACTTTAGGGGCCGGTCGCTGCGCTGTCGATCCCATCCCGGAGAGATATTGACAGGCGAAACAGGCCCCCTTCCCTCACATTTCATGATTGATCGAGTCCCCCTGCAGGCTCAGCAACATAGCACACGGTCAAAGCATTAAGACATTATGACATGGGCTGACTTTTAACGCCACAGGATTTATTTTGTTGTGGCGATATGATTGGTCTTAGGTGGGCGTGGCTTTTAATTCTAAACACATAAGACTGGAGAATTGAGAGCGTCTGAACAGTTTAGTCTCGAATGTAGTACGTTCGGCAGATGCAAGGTGGATAGTGCAGACTAGGCGTGGGACGGAGTACATGTGAGAGACGTATCTTTTAGCGTGATAGTTGCTGTCAAAGGTACTTTGTGACTCGGTACCATAAGCAGGTGCCGAAGGCCTAATGTTTTTCAAAGTACCGGAGTAGGCAGGCCAAATTCTCGGGGAAAGGAGGGTTCCCTTTTTAATGTTTCCCTTAATTTTTCCCTTCTTTTCCAAAGTCGCTTTTCGAGTGCTCTCCATCTTTGATTGCGCTGATGCGAACAAAAGACAGAAAGAGTTTACCTTGAAATTGAAGGACTTGTAGGACTGGAGGGTTGAGGACCCCCCCCCAAAAAAAAAAAAAAAGAGAAAATCCCAAAGTGAAAAGTGAAAAACCCAAAATTAAAGAATTAGAAATACAACATACGTCTCGTACTTGTGGTATGATACCCGTCACATCATATCATCGGAGTACATTACCTCTCCATACCGGCCCATTACCAGTGGAGCGTGGATCGTCCCGATCGAGTCCCAGAAGATTCAAGGTGAACTTCCAGAGAGCTATTAGTCCACTTAATTCCCTCTCTTCCCCTCCCCTTTTGCTTCAAAGCTCTTCACTTTTTACTTTGTATTGTTGCCGGTGGCAATCTTATTTGCTATCCTTAGCTATACCGTTCATTCTTTTCCATTATATCCCTTTCGCCCTTGCGTTACCTTAATTGGGAATCTCTCGTCCAGTTTGGATTTGCGATTATCCCACCTTGCTGCAAGTGCACTTGCCCTCATCTCCCTTTAATAGGCGTTTGCATTGTTTGTTCTGTGACCCCGTTCATCCCTTGGTATCGGGACCTCATTGCGACTCGTCATCCCTCCGGGGCTTGGAATATTCCGGACTCCTTGAAAGGAAATCTGTTTGGACCTGTTTATAGTGTGTTTTTGATTACTTGTTAATATTGTTTTCTGTGTTTGTATGTCTTCAAAGTTCCTAAATCCTTCCCCTCTCCTGGCATTCCAAGCCTTCAACCTCCTTGGGCGCATTCCCAACATTCAATCCCTATACTTTATACTATCCTTGAGCGCCCAATTGACCTAGATTGTGTAGGATCAACCCCAGCCTCTGGCGATCCGATTCCTCCCCTCCACCCTTGATTATCAAACGCCACTTGCCTTCGAACCCTGTGTTTTCTCTGTTCGACATCATCGAACGATGTCCATTGCAACTATCGAATAAACGCCATCGGTCAGTGACCTAAGAGGCTCGGAGAAGAAATTATTCAGTTGCGGAACCGATAAGGGATCGAATCAATGAAGCCACTTATCCCCCCGTTAAAGGTCTCGAAATCCAATTCGAACTTATCCGAGTCAACCTACGACGCCAAATCTATACAGAATCGATTCCGCTCCGCCTGGAATACATCAGAGATGACCCCTCCATTAACACCACACGATACCCAGAACCCAAACATGGGTCAATCGGAAACCCCGAGGCCTGTCTTTCACAACTATCTGCGTGCTTTTTACCCTTTCCGCCCGGCCGGCAATGTCTCTCCGTCGACCGTGACACTCCCTCTGGACCAGGGAGACATCATCTTGGTACACTCCGTTCACACTAATGGCTGGGCCGATGGTACATTGTTAGAGTCCGGGAATCGAGGCTGGCTGCCCACGAATTACTGCGAGGCATACGACCAACTGCCTATGCGTCCTCTGTTAAAGGCCTTGACTGATTTCTGGGATGTCATTCGAGGAGGATGTGGATCATCACTGAAAGATTTTGGAAACCAAGACTTGATGAGAGGCCCTATCGCTGGTGTTCGGTTTCTACTGGTAAGTACGAGCGAGAACCGAGAAAACAACAACAGCGCTTATCATTTCGGCAGGAAAAATCAGAATGTCTTACTCGAGAGTCTTCCCTGATAAGGAGATTCGATGGACTGCGCAGAATTCGGAAGGCTTTGCTATCTGATCTGTCTTCGCTGGTGAAAACTGCGAAGAAGTTCCAAGAAGTTGCCAACGGGGTCCCGTCGGAAGATGAGGTGGAGGCCATTTTAGATGAGATGCTTCTCAAGGCTTTCAAGATTGTTACCCGAGGAGTTCGATTTCTTGACGTGTGGAACGAGGAAGTGGGTCTGAGCAGGACCATCGCGGAAATGGATGGACCCGGCGAGAGCCTAGGCCAATACAGCCTACCGCTGACTCCAGCATCCGCGAATTTCAATTTGGGCGAGAATGATGGGCCTGATCGATCTGAGTCAAGAATGCTGGAATCGCGAATGGAATCGCGAATGGAATCGCGAATGGAATCACGAATGGAATCACGAACGGAATCAAGAACGGAATCACGAACGGAATCACGAACGGAATCACGAATGGAGTCGCGGCAGATGAGGCATAGCCGTATGAACATGAGTCGGTCATCAATGCGCACTGAGATTTTTGATAATAGACCGGTCTCCGTGGCTACAAAACGGGTCTCTATATCCCACCGCATGTCAATCTCTGGTCCTTCAACAGCTATCAGTGCCCAGAATCTGGCATCTGAACGCCTAGGAACGACTTACGATGCGTTCCTCGGCGTGCTTGGCTCGTTCCTCGGCTTGCACATGCAATCCCGCTCCTCGACAGAGCTGGTTGTCACTACCCAGCAAGCTGTCCAGTCGTGCAGGCAGTTACTAAATGTTGTTGAGGTAGTGTGTGAGCATGAGACGCATCGCAGCGTATTCCTCGAACAGGCACGAGAGTCAATGTATGAGAGGCTATCCGAGCTTGTTCACGCTGCACGCGACGTGTTCCGCCCCGCAGACCTGCCAGACGATGATATTGTGCTTATGCCAGACCAGGGGAAACGCCTTGTGGATGCTGCAACTGACTGTGTACGAGCCGCTGGAAACTGTTTGGCGAAGGCTCGCCTAGTGCTTGAGCAAATAGGTGATCTCGAGCTTGACCCTGGAGAGTCCGAAGAGAGAAGACAGGAGTTGTCTGGCATTGTCTCTTCACAAGATGAGACGGAGACTCCTGTAGAACAGGAGCGAAAGCCGTCACTCCGCCTTCCCCCACCCCCTCTTCGGATTCCTAGCACCGCATGCTCTCCCGCAACACCTGCTCTCACTGACGCGACAACACCTTCATCCTTCCAGTCTCATCTCACAAACTCTCCCGCCAACACCAACGCTCTTTCCTCTCTACCTAACTCTGCCATCCTCCCCACCCACCTCGAGAACATATCTTCCTTCTCCACCGACAGTAGCTATTGTGAAAGCCATCCCAAGTCTGATGTAAGTGAATCATTTGGCCGTGGTGTCACCAGCACTGGTAGCAGCTTCACATACAACAGTCACACACGTGACTCGGAAATGAGTGGTGTCTCGCAGACCTCGACTCGGGCTACGTCACCTGATATTGGTGGTAGCTTACAGGGGAGCTTCACGGTTCACTCACTGAAGGAAAGTATGAGCTACTCGACCCTCGCGGAAGAAAACGAGGAGACCGAGGCCAACATCCTGGAAAGGACTTACGCACATGAACTCATCTACAAGGAAGGTTCAGTGATGGGCGGCAGTCTCCGTGCTCTTATTGAGAAGCTGACCGCTCACCAATCCACGCCCGATGCCATGTTTGTCTCAACGTTCTACCTCACCTTCCGTCTTTTTGCCACGCCTCTTGAGTTTGCAGAGGCCCTTGCCGAACGCTTCGAGTACATCGGTGACACACCCCACGCCGCTGGGCCTGTCCGCCTCCGTGTGTACAACATCTTTAAGGGCTGGCTCGAGTCCCACTGGCGCCATGATCGTGACAACATAGCCCTGGATTTCATTGTCAACTTCGCAAACACACGACTTGTGGTTGATCTGCCCACTGCTGGTAAGCGGTTGCTTGAATTGGCCAGCAAGGTGTCTGCAGTTGGTGGCCCACTTGTGCCTCGCTTAGTTTCCTCCATGGGCAAGACCAACACTTCCATTGCCCAATACATCCACCCTGATACCCCTCTACCTCCTGTAGTCCTTGGCAAAAAGGAACAGAGCTTGCTCAAGCAATGGAAGAACGGGGAAGGTTCAATAACTGTTCTTGACTTCGACCCACTTGAACTCGCCCGTCAGCTCACCATCAAGGAGTCCCGCATTTTCTGCTCGATTCTTCCCGAGGAACTATTGGACACAGAATGGACCAAAAAGACCGGCTCGTTGGCTGTGAATGTTCGCGCCATGTCAACTCTGTCGACTGATCTTGCCCACCTCGTTGCTGACTCTATTTTGTATCTCGAGGAGCCCAAGAAGCGTGCCGCAACTATCAAGCACTGGGTCAAGATTGCCAACAAATGTCTGGAGCTAAACAACTACGACACCCTCATGGCAATAATCTGCTCATTGAATTCCTCCATGATCTCTCGACTGAAGAAAACCTGGGACGTCGTATCACAGAAGACAAAGACTGCCCTCGAGCAGCTCCGTGGCATCGTGGATGTATCTCGCAACTACGCAGTACTTCGTCAGCGCCTTCAGAACCATGTTCCACCTTGCCTTCCGTTCGTCGGTACTTATCTGACAGACCTCACCTTTGTCGACCACGGCAACCAATCCCTCCGTACCCTCTACACCGATGACAGCGAAATGGCTGTCATCAACTTCGACAAGCACATGAAGACGGCTCGTATTATCAGCGAGCTCCAACGGTTCCAGATTCCCTACCGTTTAACGGAAGTTCCGGAGCTACAGGCCTGGATGCAAAACGAGCTCGTGCGCGTGCGCTCGAACGGCGAAACAACCGCGCAAACCTTCTACCGCCGCTCTCTGGTTCTCGAGCCCCGAGAGCTCTCCCGCAGTGGAAACACCTTTCAGTCCCAGTCCTCCCAGTCTGAGTCCGTTCCCTCCAGGCTCGACAATGCCAAGGACATGTTCGACTTCCTCTCATGGACGAACCAGTCCAAAACGAAATCCGTCACCACACACGGATAAAGCTCTCTCTTTTACACCGTCACCTATACCATTCTTCACCCCCTAATGACTAATGACCTCTTCTCATTCCCAATTTACTCTTTTTCAACTGACACCATCCTCACCATTCATTATTCTACTATGCATACTTGCATCATCTGTCTCCAACCCCCTTTTTTTTGCTATCTGTGAATATCCCATCATTATTCTTCCACCTATTTACCTGTTGTTATTCTTGGGCGGTACTTGTGTCTTTTTTTTTGCAGTTTCTCTTTCGAGAATGTATCATTTGAAAAGCGGTTATGTATGGAACGGGGCCAGGGACTACCCAAAAGGAGTTTACCAAAGGCCTTGCTCTGTTTATGTGATTTGTTCAATTTCTTCTTGTCTGGTCTGTTCTTATTTCGGCTGGGAACGGGGAAACAAGGACAGGGGCACTGGAAAAAGGATTGTTACCGATCAACTGGGCGGTTCCTATACCCTCTAGACAATTTTTTTTTTTGCCTCACGGCTTCTGTACAGGAGCATCAATTAAAATCTGCGTGAAATGCAAAATCCTCTTTGATCTCAATTGTTTCTTCTCCAACCATCGTAATTGTCACTCTTTTGGGGCCTAAACCAGTGGGTTTTCTCGTGAGTGAAACACGCTTGAGGGAACTCTAGGTGACCGAATTAAGAACTTCCGATGCCTTTCTGGCTTGAAATTTCTGCCTGAATACTGATGTCTGCATCTCCACAACAGCTTGAATCCTACCCTCCACTTGTTGTAAGACCAATGCCAACAAGTTAGCTAAAAGACCAACTTACCAGCGATAGCCCACCATTAACAGCTACTAACTGACCAGTAACCCAGCGTGAAGTATCCGAAACCAAAAGCGCAAGAACAGGAATCAAGTCAACCTTCAACGTCCCCAAACTTCTCCCCAAGACAAACTCGACCATCCATGCAAACATCATGGCCCACAACACTCTCCGCCTCAAGATTCTCACGATAGCCATCAATCATGGGTGTCCAAACAGCCGGTAGGACCGCATCAACACGAATCCCATACTTCCCCCACTCACGCGCCACAGCCCCTGTAACGCTCTGCACGGCACCCTTCGAAGCAGCGCAGTGAGCCAGAAGAGGCAGCGGCTCTGACGCAAAATCAGACCCGAAGTTCAGAATCGTGCCGCCCTGAATCTTGAGATAGGGGAAGACAGCCTGGTTCACGAAGATCGTTCCCTTGACATTGACATCTAGCATATAATCCAGCTCGCTGTCGGCGATGGTCTCGGCTGCATCTCGATGAATGTGACCCGCTGCGTGGACTAAACTGTCCAATCTACCAAGGAAGCGGACTGCGGCTTCCACGACGGCATTACACTCGGATCTGACTGTTACATCGAGGTGTTGATATTGGATTTTTGAGTTGGGGTTTTGGCCGGAGATTTCAGATGCCACGCTTTGGCCGATGGTGTCTTGTATGTCACATATCACCATGTGCACACCGTGCGCAGCAAGGACTTCGGCGGTTGCTTTGCCGATTCCGGAGGCGCATCCTGTGACCAGGACGCGTTTTCTGGTGACGGAAGGGGATTATATGGCAAGCTGTTTCCTCTACAGGGCAGTCGCCGTGGGGGGTTTTGGGATACGTTTGGGATAGGGACTATTGTGGATGATGGAGATGCTTCTTTCGGTTGTTGGTTTTGGATTGCTTCTATCTAGCGCCTTTTCCAGGCTCGATGTCACCTGTTCTGTGTGGATTAAGACGATGTTGATTCTGGCTGGGTTGTACACCCCGAGTCAAGTGCTGAGATTCGTAGAGTGAAATTTTCATCGGAGAGGCAACGACGAAGGAATACAGCCATTCTTGCTGGGAGCACAGAAGCCTTGTGTTTTGGGAATTCCAGGAACAAACGAGTCGAGTTACACACTGATGTGGATGTCAATTTTCACTCAGAGGCGAATATGAGTGGCATATAATGAAAGAGTTTAGGTTGAGATGTCTTCTCTAAAACAAATGTGGTCTAGGAACAAAATGCTTCGGGATTTACACATTTCTTCTATGAGTAGAAGGTTTGGTGCAAGGAAATGCTACACAACAACTAAGCCCAATACAATGATGAGATCGGTTTAAACTCTTGCTATCGTTGTGTTAGGGCTGAATTTTGTGCCACCTAATAGCTTCCCCTGTGGACCTAGATCCGGAGATGGACGTACAAGAATGAGAATTCCACTTTACCCATTGCCTTGTGGTATCATAAAATGATGAAAAGCATCAATGGCTGTTAATTCAAAATCATCATAATTTCTATATGTCGCTATTGATCCCAGCCTATTCGTTGTATTCTCAAAATACAGACTTTGTCCCACCGAAAACCCGAGCTGAGGGTACCCTAGGGGACTCAATTCTGTCAATGGCAGAAATTCGGGAGATTTAACATTCAGCTACATTTATAAGCCTAACTGGGAAGCCAGATCAAAGACACGGCAGCAAATAGATGAATAGCCTCGGTAGAGATATTTTCATCTGGGGAATTCAGAAAAAAAGAGAGACAGCGTACAATCATGCATAAGAAAGGAACGACTACAATACCGCAACTTTGGAGCCGAGCCCATAGTTATCATTCGTTGTGGGATCCTTTTGCCAAACACCACCAGTTAAACAGGCAAAGGGGACAAGTGCACCACAAAAGAGGAGTGAATTCTTGACAAGTGACCTACTTAGAGAATGTTTCAGAGTTCTCAACCAATTTAATGTTCAATGGCTATAAAAATGTGGTCTTGCACTATTTAAGCCATTTTTTCCGCCTATGCTCTAGCTACAAACCCGAAGAGGCGGGCAACATCTTCAGAAAGGACGGCTCAAAAGAAATCTAAAAAAAGACCACCAACGCATCACAAGACCGCATAAGCGGCTTACGATTCTTGTATCGGATGCATGAAGTGCTCGGGTCTAGTGTTTGCTTGTGTTATCATTAGTTTCCTGTTTGTAGGATGCTATACTAGACTATACATCTCATGCATCTAGGTTTGTAGGGTGTTTAATAACTTGATCATCTTCGTATCGTACAATTAAAAGTTACTCTCCAAGGCTGCGTAAGCCCGTCGCAGTGTCATTCCAAATCTCCGTCTGTTATTTCTACTTTTCTTAGTGGCTGGCTGATCCTTGCATGAACTCTTCTGACAGCCTAGCAGAGTTGACTCTTTGGAGGATTTTCTTCAAAATCAACAACATAGACTCATGCAAAAGATAAATCTAAAGGACCTCAATCGGGAATTAAAAAGCGCCCCTTAATTGTACATTTCAACTGGCAGACCGTTGCCATTGGATTGAAGCATTTGAAAAATGCGACTGCCTATATTCTGTAAGCACCAAACTTATGCAAGCCCAGGACAATTTGAAATTTGTCAACGTTCTGTACGATCTATCTGGTTGATGCGTTTTAATGCAAGAATATGAAATCCATTTTCGAGCTGCATCTCGCTAAATGTGACCACATCACATCTAGACTTGACGTAAAACCTCACGACATTGTTCATTTCAATGACAGTTTGTTTATGTATTGAAAATATACGATGTATTCTGTATGTCAGTATGAGGTGGAGGGGAAATGTGACCTGTCACGACGTATGAAACCTGCGAAACCGGTTTGGGCACTCATGTCAGAGGCCAGTGTGGACGGCAGGGATTTCATGGAATTTGATTTTAGAGTCTGGACTTACATTGTAAGGAAGTTATGCCGAAGCAAGTGGAAATCGATGTCCCATCACCGAGATGTCTAGACGTCGAATGTAGGAGCCTTGAAACTAAGACAACTATATTACATAACGTGCTCTAAAAGCCTCCATAAAATCTAAGCCAACGCCGTCATTATCATCATAGGCGGATACTCTGGTATCGAAGTCTAGCGGCAATGAAACAGCAGTTTCAGAGAGGGGTCGTAAATCAAGTATGGGGACCATTGAAGGGCGGCCATGAGCGCATTGAAACGGGAAGACACAACGGGCCAGCCTGGAGACCAAGGCCTGGCACTCTTCAATATTCAGCGGATCATTGAACATGATAGCAGTTCGACAGGCGCGGGAGTTGAGAAGGTCTACAATGCCTTGAGGGCATCCATTCATCTGTTGAACCCATGAGCGCGAGGCGGATGATGTTGAGGCTCCTTTGTGTGCCACATCATCACTGCCTGACAGTTCGAGATCCTGGTCCGCATCTTCGGGTTGAAATGTTTTCTTCGAGTGGAACGGCTTTCTGCCATCTTCCTCATTTGACCAGATCTCACGCCTCATCAAGTCAATCAACACGTGAGGCTCGAGCCGACAGCGTTCGGCTATTAGGGCAGGAAGAGTATACACGGTGATCAAATCAGTAGAGTTGGTCTTGGCATGTGTCATGTACTCAATACCCCAGTCTGAGAAGAGACTCGTATATTTTTGAAAGAGAACACCTTCCGTCGATGAGATTTCGAATAACAAAGAACCGACTTGGACAGTTCGCACTCGACCACCCGACTCCAAATTTTCACCTTGGCCGGCAGGGAGGAACATCTCCCTAAGCAACAGTTCAATTCGACATCGCTCATCAGCCGCGTGCTGATCAATTAAGAGCAGAACATCGTTTGTTGTTCTATCCCAATTGAGAAAGACGGGAGCCGTCTGGACTTTAGCCAGGATGAACTTTTTGTCCACCTGTGCTATCACCTCGGCAGTCTCAAGCGCACAGCGTTGAAGTTTTCCTCGATATTTGGCGACCTGCGCTGTACCAAGCGGTCCAGCGCCCTTGAAGCAGTTGTGCGAAGAAGTAGCTGTATTCTGCTGACCCGCGGATGCCGCGCCTAGATTTGATATTGGCATTTCTGTACGACTAAAGGAAGGATTGTCCCATGCTCCCAGCAGGTTTTCTATCCAGAGATTTTGCATTGGATGCTTGGACGAGGCATCGAGACAATCTGTGGGAGAAAGCTGGGTAGCCAATGACTTCCGAGAATTCATCGTTTGGCCAGTTCGAGGGTTGATCATATAGGCCAACTTGGTGTGTGGATCGATCCAGGTCATCATCTTGTCTGATGGTGAGTTGCCAGTCAGATCCTCCGTTCTGGCCCTGCCCTCATCAGAGACACTCTTATTCGGGGGATTTGGAAGAATTGTGCGCATATGGCCATCACTTCGGCGGGTTGGCCTATGTTTAGGGAGAATCGGCAATGAACTCTCACCCCGCACTATGTCAGGAGCCACATTTGAACGCCGAGGCAGTCGATGAGTCGGAGAATTCGCTTTGAGATCCTTAGCAGTTTTTACCCTGGACCAGTTAGCGAGGCTTTGGCCAGAGTTCACAGACTGGGCTCTTGGGAATGACGGAATTTTCAGATAACCGCTAAACGCTTCTTCGGTGCTTGAAAGCGACCGACCTTGTTGAAGGGGCCCACGGAAACTGCTAGCTACATCGGAGAATTCCGAACGGATACTTTGGTTTTGCTCTGATGACCTAATCTGCTTTTTGCTGCTACGAGGGCGGAGATTGTGTTGCTTCAAAAATTCATGAACCATGGCCCCTAGCACATCAACTATACGTTGAACGGACTTGGCCGATTCTGGGAGATGCTCAGATCCATCATTATCCAATCGTACGATAGCGGTTGTGCCAATGCAGATGTAAAACATTGGCCACTTGTTGACTGACTTTGCCCAGCTTCGAGTGCTTGCGTTGCTTGGGGCATCAAGTTGATTCACTGAAGATGCAGGACGTGTAACAGAGTTTCTTCCAGACGGAGCTCCAGCATTACTGAAATCTGATAAACCAAATAGCCGGTTCACTTCATCGTACAGAACATTCGAGCAATTGCGCGATAGCATAGGCTCTTTCCCCAAAGAAATGAACTGAACTTTCCGAGTTGGACTGGGCTTGAGAGAGATTGCTCCATAAATTATGATGTCAGAGACTGATGCTGAAATTTCATGCCAATCATCGAAGCTTCGGGGTGTGATCAGCCCAGATTGTGTGAGAATTAGCCCGATACGTTTAAGATCAAACTCCCGAGCATGAGCGATGCATGCTTCGAATATAGATGTAATGCCAAGACGAATGGACATCCGCCTTTTTTTTTCCACATCGAGGACGACTAGTTTCGAAAATTGAGGATTGGCCAGAAGGAGAAACACCAAGGAGTTCCTCAAATGGTCCCACTCTCGTTCTAGCTCGTCCGGTCGCTGAAGAGTGAGAGCTCGATTCTTGACACGAACTGGCATGTTCCCAAAAAGGTCATTGACGGTCACAGAAGTGCCATGACTGGCAGAGCGAAGCACCTGATGTGGCGGTGCGGGGGTTAGCCGAGCCACGGGCGTCGAATGATGAAAAATGATTGAGTTTGTGCATTGATGACGAACATGACGAGAAGTCACAGTAAGCAGAGATAATGAGGCCAGAGATGCCAGGAATAATCCCCGATGGCCATACACGCCATTCAGCTTGAATTTGGATGTATCTGTTGCACACATTAGCCAGCACGCATTACAAGCTGAAGGTCGAGAGACATGCGGTGAGGCTTGCCCAGCCCTCCTGTAGCTTCAAACTCGACCGGAAGAATTCCATCGCCATCATCTTCAACTACACAACCACCACGTTTGAAATCAACGGTGATAAAGACGGTATGTGCATTGGCATCCAAAGAATTTTTGACTAGCTCCAAAATGACACCATTCAGATGCACAATGGATGTAGACGATTTAATCTTTGCAATCACCTCTGAAGGTAGCGCTCGTATTATTGACTGAGGAGGCATTGACGCAGTTGTTTGTATTCACCATGGCATTACGCCATTCAAAGCAAGAAGAAAGACCCCAAAAATGGATTTAAAGAACACGATTGTAAAACGCATCTCAATCATGATCATCGAACATTTTGCTGCTAGAGGCACCACAATATGTATCAATCAATGATTCACAAAAGAATAGAATGTCAAGGATGTTGACAGTACGTCAAATAGAAGTCAAGAGGCAACATGAAGGCAGGCACATGACGTGCACGGATAAACTGTCTCCCCGCCCGCTGCCCCGTCTGCCTCGGCGTGGCTCGATCTTCAGGGCACTTCTCCCTTGCCTACCTTTGACTTTTCACAAGGCAGAGAGGGTAGTGACTAGGCTGCCTTTTCAAGCTAGAATGGCTACTGCTGATGGTCCTGCTAGGGTGCATGGTAAGTACAGATTGTGACTTTGTTGGCCACCATGAACCTCTGCTAAGGGATTCACACAATACAGACCGGAATGTACGTCGCCGTCCATTTTCAAACTGGGTGAAACGCCTGGCGAACCTTAAGAGTTCCTCCGACTCTGCGACAAATCGATGGTCCAACAAGCGCTACACGGGCACCAAGGGCAAGAAGAGCGATCAAGAAAACAACCCATACCCACTCTCTGGAACCATCAAGCGTGACACAGGGACTCGGACACCGACCGACTCATACATAGATGATCAATGCGGTGCAGACCATCGCTCCAAGAGCGATCCATCTTTATGCTCAGGCTATGAGAACCCGGCTCCCCTAACAAGCGCAAAATCAGCTGCGCCAACCATTTCAACCAACGGCGACGCCGCATTATCCGAAGCGGCATATTCCAAAGCAGGCACATTGGCAACTGGTACTGAAGGATTCAGCACGCATGGAGGAGGAGAGGGTAGCACCTTCTCGTCACCTGCACCTTCAATTCGATCGATGACCACTACCCTGACCACTGTTCACTCGGCGGCACCCTCGACCCAACTGTACAATGCGCAAAATAACCACAATGGGCATCATCACCATCATGGCAGCTCGATGCAGAGCTCCTCGAACCAGCAGATACAATTTTCCCACCAATTTCCTTCAACCTCACCCGCTACCGCAGTCCCATCGCACCTGGTGCCCCAGAGCCATGCGATGACGTACAGCGCCGCAACCGCAAATAATGCCTTGACGGATAACGCCTCTCTTCTAACTCTGGCAAGCTCATCTAAGCGCCGTCGCCGTAACTCCCTGGACACCAATGCATCTGTACGCGGATTGGCTCCATCTTCTGTCTTCGGCGGTAGTCGGGAGAGCCTGCCGCTGAGTGTTCTGAGTGGGAATGCCACGGAGGTATCCAACACCTCTGTTTTTAGTGCGTCTGGGGTACTGAGCCGACCAAGCATTGTTGGCCTTGCTAGTGCTGAGCGCATCAGTGTCTACTCGGCATCCGGAGTAATTCCGCTAGCCAGCACCGCTGCGGAGCGCGGCAGCTTGTACACCACCAAGCCAACCGCCGGCGGTGATACGACCAGCATTCGCAGCAGTGTCCACTCGCACAGTCGAAATGACAGCACTGCCCCCAGCATCGCCGGGGGCATTGGTAGTCAGTTAGCTCTGGCTGGTCGCATGAGCCGAAGAAGTTCGGGCTGGGGAGAAATTACCGGCGAGGAAGGCAATAATGGAAAGCAAGTTGAAAAAAATGAGGATGAAATGGCGACCAAGGATCAAAACGCCTGTCCCATTGAGCCGCTCAAAAATTGATTCCACATCCCATGTATCCGCACACCTTTGCCGGCCACAAAGGGTGAGGTGTGTTTGAATGAAGTTACGCATGGACAGGTCGGAAGATTGAGCGAATTAACAGCGATCCTTTACTACATAATGACTTGATGCAAGGTTACCTTTCAAGGACCTGGATATTTTTAATGGTTTGGTGGCGTTTTATGGGCTGGGACTTTGATACCCTATGCGGTATGGACGAATTCGTTTCTACTCAATCCATATTTGCATGCAACTTTCAATCTTTCGTGTATCCATTAGACCTTTCCTAGATTCGGTTTCGGGTGATTACTTTGGACATGTGCATATTCTCGTCGTATTTATCAGTGCCCATTCACCCCTGCCCGTCAAGGCCAATTGGCTTAAGGAAACTTGATTTCATCGGCGCCGGATGACTATGGGCATATCGGACTCACACGCGAAGCACGTATTTTGGTACGTCCATTCATGATTGGGGTCCATCAGTTGAATCTACATGGAGTTGATACTAAATAGGTTGAAAGCTAAGGAACCCCTATACCACTCACATCGAACGAGCTTTACACCGACACAATCAGCTTTTTGACCTCTTGTTACAGCGAGAGACTGGCCCATGCAAAGCGAGCCTCCGCGACCGAAAAACCCACGGTTTGTGACAAAGGGGTTAATTCCAGCATTAGTTTCTGCAGGGAAATATCGTCTATCAGGAAGCGTCAACCCCTGGAACGAGGCAGTCGAAGATGATGGCAAAATCAGGGTTGAGGCGCGAAGCTTCACGAAAGACGGCGTCCAGGCATGGCAAGTTGCGGATCACCTTCCTGGGAGCGGAGCATAGACCCCAGTTATGGCAAGTTCAGCTATCGCAGCAGGTTACTTAGATAGCTATGAAATGGCAGCACGCATGGTGGCTGAGCTTGTGTCGCCTCCGGCAAGAATTCTCAGCACTAGCCAGTTGACGGTCTGGTTGCCTGCGGAAACCTATCCATTCGTCTGCTGGGAAAATCTCCTCTACATGTTTACCATGGACGGATCCTAGCCCCAGTTTGTCTACAAACTTGGTAATTGACTGATCGAAAAGCTCGTATTCCAGAAACTTGATCATGGTCCACAAGCCCCGAACAGGTCGAATGTTCTGGTGTAGACCATGTCGAAAGGTCCTTGGTATTTGTTTTGATGCGCTTTTATGTGTGAGCACACAAGGACAAGCTCGGTGTGGCCTTTGCAATGCGTTTTGGAAATTTGCAAGTCCCTGAGCAGAAACACTTGCAACCTTTAAACGGTCGATCACACTTACTGACTAATAAAAAGGTGTTCCCCAGCACAACATCGGACAGTTATAACATGATCCTGTATCCATGCCTGTCTCTCAACCGCAAGGTTCTTGACAATACTCAGCACGAAACGCAGAAGGGCGTTGTATACACGGCTGTTGACGACTTGGAAAATCAAACTGCCATCTTAGACCCTATGCCCCAAAGAGCGCAGCTATCAACATGAAACCGAGGTTTCAGTGACATCCAATCATTCATGGCTTACAAAGGAGCTGGTCGACGTAAAATGAATTGCCCCACGAAACGGCTAGCGGCCGACCTCATCAACAGCTATTAAGATACATAGGAATATTCTCAACACACAGTTCCATCCATGTTTCATGAACATCTACCTCAGTTTTTCATCACGTCAAACCCTCACGACCTTCCGGCAAAAGTTGGCGCTTGCACTGCATCAATCAATTTAGCATGAATACTACGGCAAGTAGTATTTTACATAAAAGTGATATTGAAGGGCATCTAGTAAGTTCCTTAAAGCCCCTAAGTGCAAATACTACAGTTCAAAACGAGAGAAAGAGGTGACACGCAAAGCTCGGTCAAGTATCGAAGAAACCATAATTCACAGACCAAGGGCTTTTTTCAGCAAGATCTTGAAGGTGGCTTCTTCCATAATTGCTGTGAAACTGCTCTATATTAGCACGCTGATTCAGAAGCCGAGAAAAAGCAAATCTCCACCCCTGGCACTTGATATTAGGCCTCATGGCATTCTCCAGTGTTTTCAATATCTCTTGCGTCAATCGTGGAAAGTTCTCATGGTCTCTTATCCAATTCTATGCTTGAATGGGCGTAATGTACCATCCAAGTCAAGCCTGTCTGCCATCTCAAACAGTTTTAAAAAGACATCCACCGAAGCCTTCCATCAAGAGTCGCCGTCGAGGGTTGGGGGCGCAAATTATAGCAGTGTGCTTTGCATTGACATGGCACGACCCAAGGAATGTGCACTTGAGATGTACGACGGGCATGGCCGCTCCAGTCTCCAAGTTTGTGAGCACAATCAGGATTGTTGACGGAAGGTTTGGATACGTACGACAGGACAAATTCGACTCCTGTTTGGAACCATTCGTGCTCGGAAAACTCGACCAGGTCCTTTTGCATGTCATCTTGAGGATTTTCGGTCCCGTAAACTTTTCTCTTATTCATTTTGCCAGTACTGCCTGTTTGAGCTGTGATGAGTTGGATGGACGAGGGGCTTGATATAGATGGCTGGCCTTTTTGACCCATCTTGGATGCTGGATGGATGGCTTCTCTCATGCTTTGGTTATTTTCATGCGCGTTGCTGCAGTGGGAATCCTATTAACAGTCGGGGAAACTAGTAATAAAGGATTTCTAAAAAAGCATGGCCCCCAGGCACGGTAACTTTGGCCAAGTGGGACTTCGGGTTAAACAGTTCCTGTGGAAGGCTGGCTACTGTGCAATATTATCCCGGAGGATTCCAATTAACCTTTTGGGGCTCAACGATTCCACGGCTTCCCTTAGAAAATGAAACTAACGGCGGATGGCTACTTCCAGAAATTGAATGAAATTGTCATTTTTCTTGTAATGATTCGTGGGGGAATGCCATGTTAGTGGGAGGAAAAGGAGAACCGGGAAACCCACTACCAAACATGGACTTACCTGACTTGCTCAAACGGTTTGTCAAAGGTTGCTTAAAGGGGTTTTAGTTCATTTGACTTGATAGGAAGATTCAAAAGCATGCATGTACAAACTGTTTGTGGTCATTTGGCCAGCTGAGCAACGTCTCATCGAGTTCCATAGAGTTGATTCATATCTTGTGAAATAATACAAGTTTGCACAATGCCTCATGTATGTTGCAGTGTGACTTCTCGCACGGTACATAAGAAACAACCAAAACTACATACTTTGGCCTTTTATCTCTATACTTGCCTGGCTGGGTGTTTAATTTCATCTTTCTCTTTATGATACATTTGTAGTATTTCCTGGTCATCATTACTTGACTCTATATTCGATGAAAGGAAGTAACCCATCTGGGTTGATTGCTCTATTATGTCATAGCTGTAGTTCAGGTGTCAAATAGAACAGTGACCGATGAATCGTGTTATTGACACAAATTTTGGTGTCGCAGTCTGTGATCTTGAAGTGTCATTACCTTGGGAGATACGATATCCATAGCTCCCTCTTGATACTTGTAAGGCATCCCTTCTCTTTCAAAATAATCTTGCTTCTCTGAACGAATTGTACATCCGGCTTGGACACGAAAATCAAGTCCAAGTGCTACGAATACGATTGAAGGATCAGAGCTGTGTTTTATTTCAGATAATTAATTCTGTTAGTGAACTAGGAAGCAAAACGACAGCCAGCCCAAAATTTCAGTTCTGTTTCTCTTATTGCAAATTTCCTGTTCCTTCAGCCGCTCCCACCGCGGAGGACAAAAAGACGGACTTCTTTTTGCTATTCGGGGGCGGATATCGTGTTTCAACTCCACCCAAGCTTCGCCTTCCGAATTGGAAGACTTGGCAAAGGCCCTATTTGGGTGACAGTGGACGTTCCCAAGTGAAGCAGAGTCTCGTCAATTGTAACGGGCAGATCTTTCTATCACAGCACTAGTTAGAGTTGCACCAGGTGAGCTATTCTGTTGTACGGTTATCAGCCACTTCAAATGGCTCACACGCAATGTTGTCCAGTGTACCCGTGGTTTCGGCCAATCACTTCTGTGGGGTGTGAATGGATACTCTGCCTGATCCTTCCCTACCGAATTACTCATACGGCATTATTGCCCGACTTGAACTGGAAGGAAAGTTGGGACCATTCCGATAACCCAACTTTTGCGAATCCGAATTATTCCCAGCCAGAAAGTAGATTTCTGTTTCTTCCAACACGTTCCACGTACCAAAGTCAGAAAGCTTAAACCACGCTCTTGGCTATTTGAGCTGGAAAACGGTTTGTTTTCGACGAAAAATCCAAAATGCACAAGATGAGTAGTGCCGATGTTGATGTCGAGATTATAACGAAACTATTTGTGACGAACCCTCGCGGATTTGTGGACTTTAAGAACGGTCAACAAGCACTGAATCTCCTTCCAATGGGGCCAAGGAGCTTGGCTAGTCCCGAAGGGTGAAAGGATGGATAATTCGGAGGCTAGCATTGAAGGACAGAGAAACATGGCATGATATTGAGGGAACTTTGACGGCATCGTGTTGTGGGAACCATGTTACAACGCACGCTGTGTGTACTACTACTAGTGGGGATACTAAGAGAACGATCCCATATGCTACTTACTGTGCATGCATATTGTATCTACCATTGAAACAAGAGTACTCAAATTTGTCTCGAGTTGGTGATTTCTACTAAGCCAAGACATTAATGACTTGGTTTTCTTCCTTGTGCTCAGAGCCACAGTCATCAGTGGCCAGTGCATCAAAATGAAGAACGCTAAACCGTGTCGAGTCAATCCGAATTTTGAATTTCGGAACCCTTGTCAAAGTCTGTGCTTGAGGACCAGTGCAGATATATCCCGTCTTAGGATGTTTAGATGGCAAGAGCTGAAATCATCCTCCTCATTAATCAATTTTTAGAGCAGACACCAAGACAAGATGATCAAGATGAGGTATGGTGATTATTAATTTGCAGCGAGTTCGGAAAAATCAGGAATAACTTCACCCTGAACACGGACGGCGTTCATTCAGGGCTACTTTCGACGCTGACCAAGCCGGCAAGGTCCGCCAATCAGCGGTGGGTAGACCCCATTTCGGGGCCCGCCGTTTTGTGTCCGTTCGGTGCCGCGTTTGTCGCTAGGATTATTGAAGTAGGAAAATGAGGCATGGAAGAATGAATGGTGCAATGTGTTATTCGTGATTCATGCAAGATTCATCTCATCTCGTACCATGTTGTAAGCGATAGAGTATACAGGATTAAATATATGCAGTGGGACTACTCCGTATCTATTTCGAATTGGGAACGTGGAACCGAGGAGTTGAACTCAATGGGCTCCGATTCTCGGCCTTTGATCAACTCGTTTCTACATTGTATGCCACATTTACAGAGAGCCTTGGAAGGAATTGAAGGGTAGAGTAATGGGAAGAGGAAGCGGAACATATCGATGTAATTTTTGTCCTTCCAACAGAAACAGAATCCCCAGTGCACGGTTCGGAAGGCAAATGAAGCCCTGGAGGCAAATTGGGGGATTAATCATCATCCACCCCTCCGACCCCCAGGCTTCCCACCCCCACTGGACATTCAAAGAAAAACCCACTTCTGGCCCCAACTTCTCTCTTCTTCTCTCCGGCTCCTATCCATTTTAAATCTTCAACATTTCGATTCACCCGAATCGAATTAGAGCAACCTCACGACTGTTGCTTCAACATCCATCGCACTCGCGACGAATCAGCACAGAGCCGCATTTGGCATCTGAGTTACGTCTCTACAGCCTGCGCAACGCGCACTTCCATAAAGTCCATCGGCATCGAGAAAATCGGTTTCCGGCTTCCGCCTCACCTAATCGTACCTGAGAAACGGGGAAACCTTCATCATGGCCAACTACAACGGGCGTCGCATTCCCAACTTCTCGCAATACCTGGATGACTTGAACGCGATTCCCTCGCCGTATGACCAGGCCCAACAGCAGCAACAGCAGCAGAGTACCTTTAACGATGAGGACCTTGCTCTGTTCACCAATACCGAGTTTTTCGAGTTCGACAAATTCACCGACTTCGGTGGTCTGCCTCCATTCTCGCCAGAAGACGAGAAACACGAGGTTATCTCGGATCAATCCGCACAAGATCTGAAGTTCTTGGATTTCCTGAATGGTAAGTGTGTCTGATCTTGGTTCCTGTCTTTCGCATCGTTGGTTGGGTAGTCCCGAGTCTCAGCTGCATGGCTTTCCCACCATACCCCGCAGACTAGTTCACAATTGTGTCTTTGGGACCCATATCTACACCTTGCATTCGGTTTCTTTGGTTGCCTTTTATATTCATCATTCCTGCCACTACATGAGTTATGTCTCAGTTTTGGAATATTTGGCGCTTCGTGCGCTTCATGTGCTTCAACATCATACCATGCCCTACCGCTTTGGCCTCCTTGGAAAATTTGAGCCCTGCATGTCATCCTTCCCGTGGCCCTAGCAGGGTTTTCATTCAATTTTAACTTTGGGTTGTTGATGCGAATGATCTCCGCTATCACGCCTTTTCACGTGATCGGCTCCCCTGCTCGGACTCTCACTACTCTTCGGGAAACCGAACCCTACGATGTAGATTTTTGAAAGTTGAATCATTGCTAATGGTTTAACAGCAGAAGGACTCAATGGCCTGACTGACTACCAGCCCGACCTGACCCGCTCTAATGTCCAGTTGCCCATGCACAATGCCCACTTTTCGGGGCTTTCCTCCATTCCTACTGGGCCTGTGACTGTAAACCAGGCACCCATTCAGCCTGCCCCCATCAACACCGCCCTGAAGGTCGCCCCGGCCCCATCCGTTTCTATGTCGCCTTCTACTCCAGTGACCGGCACCAAGCGCAAGAACTCGGCAAATTCAACCCAAGACAGCGCCGAGGAGGCTAGTCGCCAAATGGCCGAAGAAGACAAGCGCCGCCGTAACACCGCTGCCAGTGCTCGTTTCCGTGTGAAGAAGAAGCAGCGCGAGGCCGCTCTCGAGCAGACCGTCAAGGAGACCACCGAAAAGAATGACATTCTTGAGGCTCGCGTGTCTCAGCTCGAGCTGGAAAACCACTGGCTCCGTGGTCTGATCATGGAGAAGAATGATGCCGACGAGCAGTCTGAGCAAGATATCTCGGACATGTTCAAGAAGTTTTTGGCCTCACAGAAGGCTACTAGCTCAAGTATTTCCGACCTGAAGCGCGGTGTGGGCACTCTTGTATGAAGCATTTGCTCCATGCTGAAAGTAGAAGAAAAAAATCGTTACGAAAAAGGAAAAAAAAAGAAGCCCCAGTCTTGTTTGATTGCCTTGCTACTCTACTCTGCTGCTTTGGGTGGTGACTGTCCTGTGGGCTTTTTCCTGTTAGCCCCGCCTCACTATCTTTGCTTTCATGTTCAGTGTGTTCTTTTTCCAGCGATTTTCTTGGTTTTCTAGCAGCCAGAGCTACTTCAGATTTTACCATCTGTAGGTCGAGGGGGTGGTGGGTGGATGAGTGATGTGTCTTCACGGCAGTTTTATTTAGATTCAACTATTCTTGCGTTTGAGCCCTGTTTTTACAATCGTCAACTTCGCGTACAACATAGAAGATCCACCGAATCCTAGGGCCATTAAAATCCCGACTTCAATCTACACGTTACATCTACCAACTACATTCATTATATATATGTTTGGTAGACCGACATATCTTGGCATTGACAACCGACCGGCCCACCCGGTAAGCTCCACCGCAACCGGCTTTGCAGAATTCTACGAAAGAGAATGGATCATTGCCTCCTTCAATCCCCGGACTATTAAACAATGCTAGACTTCCTCAAACGCGCCCTAAGGAAACCACACGCAGACGTGTACGGTCTAGACCATGCCATCCTCAACATACAGCTGCCATTGCAGAGGATGTGGATGAACATGGGGTACTGGGAGGTAAGTTATCTGAGACAAAGACCATTTAAAACAAATGTCTCACGCAAGTCAATCTATTCGAATACACCTTGACCCTCTTCCTAGCACACAAATGACTTTCCAGAAGCCTGCCAAGCGCTCCTAGATCAGGTTCTCACGGCTGCGCTATCAACAGAGAAGGCGTCTGCCGTGAGAATCCTGGATGTTGGGTGTGGATGTGGTGATCAGTCGTTGTATCTGACGACGATTTTAAATGGCGCTTCTCCTACATCCCAGTCCGGTTTTGAATCTGGGACTGGGACCGGGACAGCAACCCCTGCCCCGATTCCCAGCATCACGTCTGATATCCAACCAACAGAGTCAGTTCTGCGGTCTCGACATAGCAAGAACAAGCTGCAATCTCCCTCTTCTCTGCGCCTAGATGCCTATATTGGGGTCACGCTGGTACCCGCGCAGGCCGCCCTCGGCTCACGCCGCATTCGCCATATGCAGCGAGAAAGCGAGGACTTTATCCAAGCAGAAATCTATTGTGCAGACGCTGCAGTCCCCAGCTCTTGGACTGGGGAGTTGAAAAAATCAATCACAGCCTTTGGAGACACGTCAATCAACCAGAATGAAAACGAAGACACATCTACATGGCTCTTGGCCCTAGATACGTTATATCACTTTCGCCCCTCGCGCCTTCCTCTTCTTACCTATGCACAAAACACCCTCAACGCCTCATTCATGGCCTTTGACTTGATATTATCTAATGGCATAACTTGGTACGAAAAGATCCTCCTCCGACTCGTGTGCTGGGGAACGAACTCTCCATTTGGGAATTTCATCACCGAGAAGGAATATGTGGAGCTCCTTGTTAAAGCTGGTTATAATCCAGCCTCTATTGAGATCCGAGATGTCTCGCAGCACGTTTTTGGCGGGTTGGCGGGATTCATTAAGCGCAGGGCTGAGGAGGCAAGGCCCTATGGGATAAAACTAGGAAAGTTCCGCGCGGTAAGCTTTGTGTTTGAGTGGTGGGCCAAGGGGAGGGTTGTCAGGGGTATTGTTGTTGTTGCAAGGAAGGATTAAGCGCTTGAATGGTCTAGTAGGCTGCATTGTGTGTCTGGTATTATGTTGAGATAGCCGCTGGGCTCGGTGCCAGTTTTCCTGGTTTGACAGGCCTCCCCTAGCTGTTTAGGTGGCTCTCTATTTGTGTATAGAGAATCAAGTTTTCTTCTCTCCCTCCTTGCTATAACATAGTATTTAAGCTGGGAGCGAATCAAGTCTCAACTCAAAAGGCGACCTTGTCACCTGTGTCTCAAATGATGAGCTATGATGTATGTCGGCTAGAAGAAAGGATAGGCCCAACCGACATACTCCGATGTAATGCCCGATAAAGAAAATGAAGAAACTTAGCCAATCCATCCACTTGATACTTCTACTCTACTTGACCAGACAGTTCTACCATGCTGTAAATAGCCCAGCTCCTCGGCCTTGCGTTGTCAATTGAGCAATGAGAAAGGCCATCATCTTTTTCGACATGGTTCGATTGAGATATTCATCCAAAAAGAAGCTCTTGCTACTTTGCCTGACTCAAATCTCTAGCCACAGGCAGCTCGCTAGATTAAAGGGACCAATGGAGGCCCAGCGAATAGCCTTCAAATCAGAATAAGCAATCTGCGACAGAAGATGTGCCTGCATCTAGCCCTTCAGATGCCCCCCATACGGGTCTATACTACCGACACCGACGTAAGCTTTTTTTGATTTAATTTTATTATTGTTTTTCCATTTAGACCTGAAAACCGACAGTCGATTATTTGGGCATTGACGTGGACGGTTTTAATATGATGAAGCACCTCATATTTGGGAAATACACATGCCAATCATTCAATGTTGTGGCTGTTAGAGATGAGGTTGCTATCGTGACAAAAAAAACCCCAAAGGACAGAGAAATTTGGAAAGCCCGCCGAAGACTTCCCTTAACAAGCATTTTGTTTCAGAGATTGCCTTGACTGCATAGCGCTTCTCCATAAATAACTGGCAGTGGCTCCTTACCTTCGGCCCTAAGACACCGGGAGTGTCAAACCGAGCAGCGCCACACCACCATGGTATCCCGCCCTACGTCTCGTAGTTTTTTCCAAACCCCATCATCCAAGTAGACTTTACATTTGCCAATGTCTTCGTAGATCCAGACACTTTTAGGATGATATCCAATACCGACTGGTAACATAAAGTCATTGTTCCCTTATCTCTTATTGCTGGACATTCTAGAATGTTCCCACAATATCCACCAGCTTGTCTTGAGAATCAGGAACCAGGAAATTAACCTCTCGAATATTCCAAGATTAACACCCAGGGACAAGCTGGGATTGACCATCACCTTCAAAGAAGCTGTCTACCGTATCGATACCGTGAATCTAATAGCACAGTCGACAAACTACACTCAGGAGCTCTACAAGACCGGATAGTCTTCCGAGCCAGCAGCTTGTAGAATATTCCGGGTGAAAATGGTGGGGAGGCCAAAATCCGCTGAATGGCGCGCGGCTTCGGCACCGTGCCAATTCGAGGGCCCGCAATGAGGTCTGGGTAGGGTGGCTTGCAAAAATGCTTTAGAATTGACACTATACAACCCATTTAAAGACCATGATTTCCGTTTAATTTACTTTAGAGCTGGTCTCGGAGATTTTTCTTTGCTATTTTGAGTTTCTAGATTTTCTCCAATCACTTTAAAAGTGAGACATGTCCGACGATCAGGGTTTAGAGGATGTGCTACGACTTCACCAAAGCGGGATTTCCACTTCCTCTTCACTCTATACCCCCTTTCACCTTGATTCCTCTCTTTTCTCTCTCTCCGATCGGTTTGTTCTCTCACTCCGTAATACAAACCTGTCCTCAAATTTTCAGTAACACCCCCGACTATGTTATAATCATGTCAGACCTAGGGATCATCCTCACCTCCTTACGCGAGATTCTGACTCTAATGATAGCTTCGCCATCGAGTAAATTTCTGGGCCCGCACGGAAGTGAGTATCTAGTGGCTAAGCAGAATACCTACGGAGTAGAAACCGGAGATTAACACAACATATCGCTCCTATAGGCTATAGCTCCCTACGCTTGCCGGAAACCGTGCTAGGACCACCACGATAAACGCTAAGCATACGGATTCCCTTCGGTTACCTGAACCAACCCACATCTTTACAATATATTAGTGTCTATATGAGTGGCGGACGATAAGCAATTGTGATGAGTTGAAATTACACGTGGGATGAACTTCCTGGCAGAGAGGCCTCTCCAGAATCTTCTGTTCGATTCTCAGAGGAGAAAGCTCAAGATTGTGAAAAGACCGCTACATGTTTCAGAAAATGGCTGGGCACATAGTGACTTGTTTACCCACGCTATTGAGATAAACAAGTCTTTCGGGGTTTCCTTAAAAAATAGTATGATCTCAAAAGATATGACCAAGAATGGCGGTTCTAGGATCATGAAGAAATGTGATGCATTGTTCATTGTTTTACGAAGTAGCCGTACTCGGTACGGAGTATATCACTAGTGGGTGCTACTCCGTACCTTGTGGAGAGTAGATACCCAATCTCCACTCCAGCCCTGAAAGGCATATGGTACGACATACCTAGGTACATCAAGGATATGGATCATGCTGCTCTTGTATCGACATAATCTCTACTCAATCCTATACTAAATTGCCAGTAATCAGTAGTAACCTTCCAAGCTTGATAGCCACTTATATAGTCACCTTGGCAAAAAAAAACCCCTGTAAGCCTCTCGCGTGGCGGTCTGAATCAGGATGACGCACTTCGTAAAGAGGCGGTGGCACTTGACTCCGGAGTTATTTGCTTCAATTCCGAGCTCCTAAGAGAAATATCAAACACTTGGCTATTCAAATTGACAAAATTCTCATAATAAATATCATCATCTACTGGATATGGGATGTTAATTACTAATCGCTTAGGAAGGTCTCATCGTTTGGAAGTTCCGTTTTTGGCCGATAAGTTCGGCAGATTGTTCAAAGCTGAAGCCGCTTAGTGGTGGGTCTAGACGATCATAGTTGCATTCGGCGTTACTTTTTGGTCAAATTTTTTATAAACAAACTGCCCGCGCTTGGATGGCGAAAAACGCCTTTTCCCCCCCTACATATTTCAGGCACTTGGTACCTTTCCGATCTTTCTGACAGTTCCAACAGGGGAAAAAAGAAACTGCAGCCTAAAAGATCTGCAAAGATCGGCCCCGATCACAATTCCCGAATTGATAAAGCGGTCATCTTTGGCAATATGGCCGATCGGCTGCCTGAGGCCGAAAGGTCGCATCTATCGAGTGAAAAGCCACAGAACTCAGCTGAGCTAGAGAGACACACTACGTCAAACTCTCTTGGATCGTCGACTGGCTCGAGCATCTCCTCTGCATATGACCCGCAGGTGCATAGACTGCAATCACGGAACACAGAGCTGGACTTGGAACGTAATCGGACTGGGACATCGATAGCATTGAGCAGGACTGAGACGCAACGCGCCCAACATGCCCTCACCGTGGGTGAGAGTATTCGGTCACGACCGTCGCGGGCTCCATTGCCAGCTTTTGGTGGAGGCAAGCCCTACCCTCCACCTCTCCCTGAACAAGAGGATTACGTTGTGGAGTTCGATGGGCCAGATGATCCATTATACCCGTTGAACTGGCCTGTGAAGAAGAAGTGAGTCATTTCACTATGATTGTCCACATTGTACTGCGCATTAAACATGCAGCATTTGTTCTCCGACACTAACTTGTCCAATCTCTAGATGCTACATTAGTGCCATCCTCGCCTTCACCAGTATTTGCTCCACTTTCGATTCCGCCGTTTTTAGTTCTTCGTCTAGACATGTCTCGAGCCACTTTGGCGTCGGCCTCGAAGTTGCCGTGCTCTCCAGCTCTCTTTACATCGTCGGCTATGCCTCGGGTCCCTTGATTTGGGCTCCCCTATCTGAACTTAAGGGCCGTCGTATCCCCATTATCATGGCTATGTTCGGATTTGGCGTCTTCAACATCGCAGTGGCAGTCGCGAAAGACCTGCAAACACTCATGATCTGCCGATTCTTCTGTGGTATCTTCGGCAGTTGTCCCTTGGCAGTTGTGGCTGCTGTGTTCTCTGATATTTGGGATAACCGCACCCGTGGTGTTGCTATTGCCATGTTCTCCTCAACGGTGTTCCTGGGCCCTCTGCTAGCACCTTTCATCGGAGGTTTCATTAACATGTCCTATCTCGGCTGGCGCTGGACCGCCTATATCCCCGCAATTATGGGCTTCGCCGCTTTCCTCCTGAACATCTTTTTTTTGAAGGAGTCCTATCCACCTGTTGTCCTAATTGCCAAGGCCTCGGAGCTACGTCGCCGAACCAAAAACTGGGGAATACATGCGAAGCAAGAGGAAATCGAGATCGACCTTCGAGAGCTGATCATCAACAACTTCTCTCGCCCGCTTCGACTGCTATTTAATGAGCCATTGATTCTAGCCGTCACTGTTTACTTGAGTTTTATCTACGGGTTACTCTATTGCTTCTTGACCGCATACACTCTGGTCTTCCAGGGTGTGTACGGCATGAATGCTGGCGTTGGAGGTCTTCCACTCTTCGGCATGGTAGTGGGCCTGTTCTCCGCCGCGACTTACATCATCATCTCTAGCAAGGCCTACAATAAGAAACTCGACAAGAACGGTGGTATCCCTATCCCCGAGTGGCGTCTCCCACCCGTGATAGTTGGCGGTGCTCTCTTCGCCGCGGGGCTCTTCTGGTTTGGATGGACTGGCTTCAATGGCACCATCCACTGGATCGTGCCCACTCTGAGTGGTCTATTCACCGGATTTGGCCTTCTAATCATTTTCATCCAACTGTTCAATTATCTGATTGATACATATCTTATGTTGTATGTCATACTCTCCGTTCCTTCAAAGTTTTATGGGCTTATCTAACATACTATCTACAGCGCTGCATCAGCTATCGCAGCAAACACGTTTTGTCGCTCAATGGTGGCAGCTAGCTTCCCGCTTTTCTCACGCCAGATGTTCAATGGAATGGGTATCCAGTGGGCTGCGACACTTCTCGG